ATCGTGGTTTTCCCGTTGAAAAACGCTAGAAAACGCCCCACTACAGATTAAGAACATCGATCAAATCCTGCGTTTGACCTTCCAATGCTTGAATCGCGATTATAATAGAAGTCGATTCATTGCAGCATAATGGATAAAAAGGCGAAAAATTGCAATTTCATCGCGTAAATCTACGATTTCATTGATGATTTATGTGATTAAATTCCGATTTCATCAAACTCAATAAAGTTGCAACAAGATCGAGGATAATCGCCTTAAAATCCTAGCGACTTTATCGCCAAAAAGTCGAAACTTATTTTCAAAATATCGCGGTTTTTCGGTTGAAAAAAACTAGTTGGGATGCAACAAACGCCATGTGCCACGGATTCGAACATCGATTAAATCCTGCGTTTGACCTTCCTACGCTCGAGGGACTAAGGTCATCGGGGTAGGGTGAGAAAATGAGCCTCGTGATTGGTTACCTGGGTTGGAGCTCGGCGTGGAATCAGCGAGAGGTTAAGTCCCGAACTGCGTCCAGGAGCTAGGAACGGGAGATTCACACGGAACGGAGGAGCGGTCCACTGGAGCGAGAAACGCGCTAACTTTCGTGCTCGAGCAAGGGCTGCCAACTACTGGCGGTCCCGGAGTTTCCCCTGCTTTCCGCCGGACGAGCGGGCCCCGTCTCCCGCGGGTAAAAAAAGACCGAAAAAAAACGCACCAAAACAAAACGGTAAACGCGGAAAGACGGGGACACGTCAAAACAATGTTCCCGCCTCGCTTTTTCGGGCACATTTTCCGATCGGGCCCACCGCCGGAGGCTGCCAAGTTTCCGTGTAGAATCTCGCTCCCGTCATAGCGATGAGGGCAGTAAGTGTCAAATTTTTGAAATCGAGTTTTCTTCAAAAATTTTGTATTTCCTTTTAGATGAAATCACTGGAATAGCTAAAACAGCAAAATTTATCTTAATTTCATAAATATACCTAGCCATAAAAGCGCAATGCTGCCGTGATAGCGAAGAGAGCAGTATAGGTAAGTGTCAAATTTTTGAAATCGAGTTTTCTTCAAAAATTTTCTATTCCCTTTAAGATGAAATCACTGGAATAGCTAAAACAGCAAAATTCATCTTAATTTCATAAAAACGAGACATATGAGAGCCATAAGTGCGCAATGCTGCTGTGATAGCGAAGAGAGCAGTAACTGTCAAATTTCCGAAATCGTTTCCTTCAAAATTTGTCTAATCACTGAAATTGCTAAAACAGCAAAATTCATCTTAACTGTTGAAACGAGACTTATGAGAAAGCCATAAGTACACAATGCTGCCGTGCTAGCGAAGAGAGCAGTAAGTGTCAAATTTTTGAAATCAAGTTTTCTTCAAAATTTTTCTATTCCCATTTAGATGAAATCACTGAAATAGCTAAAACAGCAAAATTCATCTTAATTTCATAAAAACGAGACAGATGACAAATCCATAAGTGCGCAATGCTGCCGTGATAGCGAAGAGAGCAGTAAGTGTCAAATTTTCGAAATCGTCTCCTTCAAAATTTTTCTATTCACTGAAATTGCTAAAACATAGCAAAATCCATCTTAACTTTTAAAACGAGACATATGAGAAAGCCGTAAGTGCCGAGTTTCCTTCAAAATTTTTCTATTCTCTTTTAGATAAAATCACTGAAATAGCTAAAACAGCAAAATTCATCTTAATTTCATAAAAACGAGACATATGAGAAAGCCGCAAGTGCACAACAAATGGCAAAACAGCAGTATGTGACATTATTTCTCCAGAGGGCCAATATATGCTGCCGTGATAGCGAAGAGAGCAGTGAGTGTTGAATTTTCGAAATCGAATTTCTCTCGAAATTTTTCTATTCTCTTTCGGATGAAATCTCTGGAACAGCTAAAACAGCAAAGTGCATTTTATTTGTGTAAAAAGAGACATATGAGAAAGCCGTAAGTGCACAAAAAATTACGTAGTTTTGGACAAAACAGCAGTAAGTGATATTATTCCTCCAGAGAGCCAACGTATGCTGCCGTGATAGCGAAGAGAGCAGTGAGTGTTGAATTTTCGAGATCGAGTTTCTTTCAAAAATTTTCTATTCTCTTTTAGATGAAATCACTGAAATAGCTGAAACATCAAAATTCATCTTAATTGTGTTAAAAGAGACATATGAGAAAGCCGTAGGTGCGCAAAAAATGACGTAGTTTTAGGCAAGACAGCAGTAGGTGACAATATCTTCCAGAGAGCCAATGAAAACAGTGCTTTCGAGTAAAGTGACACCCTCTTCTGCCCATTTCTGACCTGAAATGTGTTTGTTGTGTGTCCAAAATGCAACCACGAAAGCATGCAGAAGATGGCACTTACAGCACAATACAAAACTAAAGCAACAATAAGCTTGCAGAACAATAAGTAAGCAAGCATGAAAATGAAAAACACCCTTTATCTGTAACGGAATACATGTGTAATCAGTACATTTTTAATCATCTAATCGATTTCTAGGAGTTTTTAGGACGATTAGTGGCAATTTGAGAAAGAACGGAGGCTTGCTTCAATAAAATTTTCCGTTCAGAAACTTCAGAGCTCGTTTTCTCGAAACTTCACTTTTGCACTTACATGCTCCCTTCGCTATCTAGGCAGAGTTTGTGCATCATTTTCTCAAAAATACAATACGAACGTAACAATCAAAAAGGAAAGTATACGCAAAACAATATCTACTTCGACAAGCGTAGATGAATGAATATTTAATAACAATACAATGACAAAAGAAAATACACAAGTGGTATTAGTAGCGCAAGATTTAACTTTGCGAAAGAGCAACAAGTTGCACCTGGAATACAAGGCCTTGGGGACCTGGAAACGCCGTGAAATATCCGTGTGTAGGTCCAACGCCTGCATGCAACTATTCGGGCTCATCGATCGTGCATGTTGCATGGTGAAATCTTGAAGGCGCACTAACTTATTTGGCACTCGTTTTTATGTGCGCCGTGCAGACGTCCGCATGCAACTATTCGGGCTCGACGATTGACCGTGTTGTATAGCAAAGTAGTGAAGGCACGCTGGCCTCAATCGCGCTTTTCCAAATGTGTGACAATGGAGATTTTGCATGTGTGAGGAATTTGCGATTTGACTATTGATTGTTATGTAAAAGTTCGCGAGAAACACGATGGTCCCACTGATTTTCTCTGAAATCAACTCCCAAGCTCAAAAGACGCTCTCAAAATTAAGGCCGCTGTAATGGAGAGGATATCCCACGCTATCGTGAGACCTCCACCTCTACATCAAGACAAACTCTACATTTTTTATTTTTATAATCAAGTTCATAATTTATATTCAATTTACTGCCATGAAACGTCTAGGTACTAAATAGCAATTTAAATCTACATGTGAAATCCAAACTTGCTAAATAATCATACTTGATTTTTGAATATGAAATAGCTGTTCGACTGCAATTTATCGCTGTGAGGTCGTCATATTTGACAAAAGTTTTTGAATATATTCATCGCAAAATGTTTGAATTTGTAATAGTTACCTACTTAATTTCCAATTATTGCACCGCCGAATGCCTATTTTTAGGAAACCGCTGCTGCATACTCACTATGAGTGGCGACGTCGTCATAGGGATTCTCCATTACATCGTATTGGATTCAAACAATAACATTGGCATAACCTCTTTCAATTCTACCAATGCGAAAAATTCAATAAATATCGCTTTTCTGTAACGTACCACTATTAGCGTCTGTAGGTCTAAATACGTTTGCGAGGTTGCACACTTCGCATCATATTTAATTTTTTCTTTAGAAAACTAGTCGACATAATTTCTTGAAAACTATCTTCATTTTTCTTTCCTGTTAGCAGTATATTCTGTACATATAAATTTAAAACTGTGAAGGTGGCTTGTGTATCTTTGAAAAAATAAAATAGAACTTTTGAAACATTGCAGTGAAGATATGTGGGTTCGGTCATTAGTCATCGATTTGCGACTAAAATTTAAGAGAGAGCGACAAGTTGGTGTACAAGAGCGCCGACAAGGCAATTTTGGTTACTCGTGAAGCAAAGAGTTGAAAAAAATTAAATATGGAAGTTTAGTTTTATTTTAATACTCAGGATGAAAGTACAACTATACAACCTCGACGGATGTCCGTATTGCGTTCAAAAAATTGAAGGCGTTTTGACTCTCTGCTCATACTACCTGTAGTTGATTCGATCGACAGACACGTTGGTCGGCGGGGTGACGGGGACTTGATGCAACTATTTAAACTTGATGGATGTCCGTCTCGCACCGACTGAAGTGCGAAACCACGTATCTCCATTGCGGTGTTTCAAACTTTCCGTTCTTATTTTATCTCTTCCATGAGAAACAATCCAAATTTGCGACTTTAAATTTTGAACCAAATCTTCCGCTATCGAATACGAAAAATCATGGAGAATTTAAGTTTTATGTTGACCAGCTTCTCGAAAGAAAAATAAAATTTCCAAGGAAGTCGGCAACGTCGCAAATGGAGAAACGTCGTCTCTCATTCTGCCCAAAAATATGTATGTATAAAATTGAAGGCATTATGATTTGCCTCTCTCAACTTGTACTCGTCTGTAACGATAATCAATGGGACGCGTTTGCTACGGCGCCTTGATACAATGACGCGTAATGTTTCAATCCCCTTTGAACAACTTCCAACAAAAGCGCGCGAAATCATAAAAGTACCCACACCTGAAATATTTCTCCATCCCTACGGTGTGTTAACATTAACTCGTTTTGGACAAAAACCCCCAAAACGGAACTAGTACATCGGCCAAAATGTGTTTTCAGTATTTGCGCTTCTTTGCATCCTCTCTAAATGTATAGAAAAAATCAAAAATATTAGGATTTTTTGTTTAAAGCAACTGAAAATGCCTTATTAATATATTTCCTCCCCCCTCCCGCCTTGTGAACCGCCAGCCCCGTTAAAGCGCGTCATTTTAAAAAACGCGCGCTCCGTTTTCAAACGGTCCCGAACGAGCACCAGTTCTTTCGCAACGTTTTCCTGTTTGTAACCGCCAAAAAGTTCTTATCAATTTAAAGTTCCTTTATCCTCATTTCGGTTATTGTTTTTCCGAGCAATTTAGAATAAAGTGAACAGATTTCGTCTATTACAGGAATTCGTCGGTTTCGCCAATTAACCAGTATCATAATGGTAACTACTAAGCTTTCATATTTAATCCGTTTCTCTCCCAACTTTCATTCAGAAATGTGCTGCAATTCAATGCATCTCTCCCTCATGCTGAAGACTCATGGTCAAAATCTTCTTGAAATAAATCTACCCTTGATTTTACAGAGAATGTTACAGATTCTACTCTTTACGTTTGTGAATCCTTAACTTGAAATATCTGGCCAGCGTATCAGGCTGTCAACACTCCATAGGTACATCGCATCCGGACTGCGCGCATGCCCACTCTTGATGAACCTCCACATTTCTCCCATCCGTTTTCTTCTAATCTTCGTCAGTTCTAAGCTAATTTCAAAATATACGATAGATATTACCACTGAAGAGGCTGCGCAATTGTACTTCCTCAACCTTTTATGATGCATGTCGAATCAGTCCAATATTGAAGTTCTCACAAACTTTTTCATTGCTTCGAACAGGCTTGAAATTAAAAATTCCAGCTATTGAGTCAGAAATTGCACACCTACATTAAGTTCTTTTGATGGGAAGTCATTAACTAATAAATTTGCATAGAGTTAAGTGACTGCCTTGTCCCTGTAAGTATGAGGAGCTCGCTTTCGCTTTAAAATTAGCCTGCCAATGTTTTTAAATTAACAGAATATATGCTCGCTGGAATCTTGCATTCAGCAACAATCGAAAAGAACGGTCTTATGCAGTAGAATCGAACTTCATGACAGTTTGCATGGCTGTTGATTAGGAGATATGAACCATTTTTTTTTTCAGTATACTTATCAAAACTTTGGTTACAGGGCTCCAAAAACAAAGTAGAGGATCAAGATCATGATGAACTGTCCCACGTCCCGGAACATTTGAGGGAACAGGTTGCAGAGGGTTTAAAAGCCATAAAGGAAGTCATCGCGGAAAGAAGCGGGAAACCTTATGAATGGAAACTTAGTGATTTTCAAATCGGAGCCCCGATGGGACGAGGAAAGTTTGGTCGTGTGTACCTGGCTCGTGACAAGCGGACAAAATACATGGTAGCATTGAAAATGCTCTTTAAGAAGGAACTGTTGAAGGGTAATCTTGTGTTTTATTTTATTCATAACATGGTACCAAGTGTAGGGAGTAAGTAATTCATGATGCTTATCAAAACTTCATCAACTGATGGTCACTAGACTAGATGCAGATTTAAGCATCATGGTACAAGTTTCTGCAACGAAATTTCAAATTGCACACAATTTATGCAAGGATCATCATTGAAAATAACTCCTGACTCAGATATTAAGATTTTTCAACACATAAGTTTGAACTTTTCTCTCTTAAAAAAAAACCATGATTCAGTTGAAACCTGTGCCAAATAAAAATGTTAGTGTCAAGATAAGAACCAAGGTCCAGGAGTCAATGCTAGTAATATTCGTCTTGCGAATCGTTTTTTATTTGAAATTTTGAAGAGGAAATATGTATCAGAATGCTCAAATATACACCTTGTCTGTTGATCCATTCCTCTTTCTTTTAAAATAAATAATTTCCCACTTAAATCTTATTCATAAGCATCAGCTATTTATGACCATCGGTGAAAGCAGGAACCTTTTCGCATTGAGGAAAATTTTCCAGTATAGTGACTTTATCAAGTGTTATTTGCTATCTTATAGGTAGATATACTTTATTTAGAGAAAAAATTCTACAGTCAATAGATTTTTTTACCATTTCTACACTGAGCCTGGCTCATGTTGTAGAGTAAGTAAGTAGTAAGTAGCCAACTGTACAGCCAGGGACAGCACTTATATTTCTCAGCGGTCAATTTAAATCATCGCACTTGACTTTTAAATATATATATTGACAGTGGAGCTCTCAAATCATGTATTTTGTTTAGTTTTTCAAAATCTCCATTCTCATTTTATTTTTTTTGAAAGAGAATAAGTTGATATCACTCTTTGAAATTTTGGCAGAACTGTGTTCACTCAGAGAAAAAATTCACAAAAGCTTTTAAGAATTGATGTTGAGTACTTAGTTTCCCATGTAAAAAATTAAATATGATAAGAAATGTAAAACAGTGCAAACTGAGACTTGTGGCTTGAGAGTTTCACCGCCGATATACCTAGTGGCTATGTCGAACTCAAATAGTCAAATCAGGCATTTGATTAAATGCCTAGGCAAATAATCAAATATTCTTACTCAGACAGAAATTCTGATTATTTTACCAACTGTAGACAGAATGATCTGATCATGTGGGAAGGAATTCTCCGTAGAAATACGCTTAATACAATAATGAATAAGTTGTATCTAGTCCTAAATTGCACATTTATCTCAAAATACACAGAATTTAATAAAATAAACAGGTTTCACAATTTGGACTGTTGAAGAAATGTGGGGAGCATCTTTGAACGGGATATGCAATAACATTCTGTACTTCTATGGATTTTTACTCATAAAATGTTGAAAATTCGAGAGGTCTCTGTGAAAAAAAAAAGAAACCTCGTAACTTCTGAAAATTTGACTGTCTACCTATGCATTTGATGAAATGCCTGATTTGACTATTTGCCTTCGACAGCTTTACAGTTGTGTTCAATTCATGATTACCTTGTACTAATTCTGTTCTAGGAGGCATGGAGCACCAGGTGATGCGAGAGATAGAAATCCAAACACACTTAAATCATCCTAATATACTAAGGCTGTTGACATATTTCTGGGATGAAAAGAAGATCTTCCTTGTTCTTGAATTTGCCGGAAAAGGAGAACTGTACAAGCACCTGAAAGATGCCCCTCATGGACGCTTCAACGAAGCCCGGGCAGCTAAGTACACATATCAAGTCGCTGACGCACTCCATTATTGCCATCTCAACAAAGTGATCCATCGAGATTTGAAGCCAGAGAATTTACTACTTACAATGGATGGTAAGCATGATTTTTAAAGTCAAATTCGTGCGCAGAGAATTTTCATGGTTCCATCAGCAGGGTGTCAGCAGGTGCAGGAAAATTACAAGGTACACTCCACTACAGGTATAGACAAATGGAATTTTAGATAGTCTTTGGAACGCACAGATTTGACAGCGTCCAATGGTATGACTGCAACACCATATTGAATACTTGTTTACTTTCTGTTCTGAGAGTGGGTTTTGTCCTTTTTGAGTTTTTTTTTCGTGTTCCTAGTTAAGTTTTATCAATTTTTTAAATTCATCTGATAGCTTATTGAAGCTACCAGATCTGCCAGAATCTCACTTTGAACTGCGCTGCAAAGACGGTATGACTTGCAACGTCACTTGATTGCGTGTATTCTCAGAGCTGCCACTTCGGCACCCCGTTTGTCCATATCTGTAGTAGAATTACCTTGGTAAGCATGATTTTTAAAGTCAAACATAAATTACTACGCAGCAAATTTTCATGGTTCCTTCGGCAGAGTGTCTATAGGTCCAGGAAAATTAAGGTGTTTTAAAAATTTGTCATGGAGTGAGGAAAGCTTAGAGACTTGAGTTTAAGTTGCTTTATCCACTTGTTCCAAGGAGAGTGAAAGGCAACTACAACATGATGTAAAAAAATAAATATTCTTAAAACAGAATTACTTACTCTCTTTCTCCATGACAGAATTTCCTAACTTAATAGCTCATTCTAAAAAAAATATGAGAGACAGTAAAGTAAAAACTTCCAGACCACAAGGTGCCAGTCAAATAAAATGGGGAGACTGCCATGAAAACAGGGAGGACGTTCCGATTCTTACTCGGTCCATATCAGATTCTTTCAAAATTTTCTTTTTTGTGGCATTTCAACAGTGAAAAGGTTCAATTTTGGGAGAAATCCTTTTCGTCCCTCCAAAGAAAGCGTTCTCGAAATATGCTGAAATAGGGCCTTTCTGTATCTGTAACTACTTATTCTCAACATTAAGCAAGTGATGAACACCTTCCCAAAGTTGGTCATCATTGTTTAATTATACGCAAATTCTTTTGAAATTCTTTCGAAATAGACCTGTTGCAAGTGGTCTTTGAGACTTCCTTCAGGTTTTTCCACACTTTAGAAGACTGATATGCAATATGATTGGTTCCTTTGTTTTTCAATCGGAGGTTACTAAATATCAATTTTTTTCAAAAAGTCATCAAAGAAAATAAAAATTAACAGTCATTTCAACTTGATTCACATCAATCTATCTACATACCTCTTTTATATCGGCTATGTAGTTCATTTCATGCCCAAAAAACCTCTCAGTAAAATCAGTGGGTGTGTGTATTTCAATTGATATTTGCCTCAAATTTAAAGTTCTAGAGCCCATTTGTTTAAGGAGGATTTGCACTGAAATCAATTCCTTGATCAAACCCTATTTGCTTTACGTACATCGAGATGCACAGCTTTAAAAACTGAGCACCATTTTTCCAAAACTTGAAAACTCAACATCCGCTGTTTCTACACTTATGACCTCATTTATCCATCCTCTGAAATTTTCTCTTTGAAAACTATGCTGTTTGCAATTGCTTTTACCTTTGTGAAGATGACAATCATGCTAATTTTAATCCTTCTTTTTCAGGTAATGTGAAATTAGCAGATTTCGGTTGGTCGGTCCATGCTCCTTCATTTCGACGGAAAACCATGTGTGGTACACTTGATTACTTACCTCCAGAAATGGTGGAGTCTCGAGTTTACGATGAGCATGTTGATCACTGGTGCATCGGCGTTCTTTGCTACGAGTTCCTAGTCGGCAAACCACCATTCGAATCTTCAAACCAGCAGCAAACGTTCAAAAAAATTGTGCAAGTGCAGGTTCCTTGGGTGTCTGTGATTTCACCTGGAGCCAAAGATCTCATCAGCAGTCTCCTGAAGTATAATCCGAGAGAAAGACTGCCATTGCCGAAAGTCATGACTCACGTTTGGATTGAGGCAAATCGAAGGAAAGCGTAGGATGTGATCGCTCTTGGAGGCAAGAATCTGATCAGCTCAACCCAGAAGAGAGACTACCTTTGTCAAAAGCAATAACTCACCAGTATTGGATCAAGGCAAATCTAAAGAAGAGTCAGGTTCTGGGAATCACTTTTTGCGGAAAAATCTTGGATAGCCAATCGTGGTATTCATCCTTGTAATTAGTAGGCCTAAAATTATGTAAAAAAAATTGCTCCTTTTGTTTTAAACTTTTTTCCCTCTTCAGAGCTCTGATTGAAAATGTCGGTTCCTCTAATCTCATTTTAAGTTCGTCGGAGAGAATTTGGTGGATTCCGAAGAGGGGATATGCCTTCAATCAATGGCGTTCAAGTATTAGATATTTTAAATGAGTTTCTATGAATGCAAGTAATTATGTGATGATTGCATTAACTGTCCTCGACAATTTCTGTCCTTGGCTCTATTACATTTGTGTGTGTCCAAATGTATTACAATGCCTGTGAATTCATCATAGTTAAAAATTATGTTTAAGTTGTTAAGACTTGTTTTGCCCCTCTTAGCCTCAAACTGGAAATGTTTAATTAGTGTTCTGTCACACATGTAAAATATCGCATATTCCATTCAAGATATGTCGTACACTGTTCATTGCACAGACTAATACATACTGAAAATAGTAAAAAGAGGGTAATTGAGAAGGGCTGTTTTTTGGCCCACCATAGCTGCATCTCAGCTATTCAGCGACGACTAAAAAACGACCCCTATCGCTGCCCCTCCTTTGTATCTCTGTTAGTGATTTTCCATCACTACATCTCAAGAAAAAAACTTACCGCTACTATTTTAAGAAACTGTACGAGACATTTAAAAGCTATTTGTGATGAAAAACAGTCGAGTAGCATTTACAATCAAAATATGATATGGAGTGCATAAGTGTCGCTTCACCGACAACCCAGATTGTTCCTCCAAGGAAAAGATGTCATAGACTCAAAAATAATTCCCAGGGCATCATGTTGTACTACAAACTTTAAATTTTATTTTTTCTGTCGACTAGCCATGTCTCCACATTGAATCTTGCTGTGATTTTTAGAATATATAACGATTTTTATATTTTTAGAATCTTAAACGTGAAGTATTTTCAGAGCTTCAATTTTAACTGGGGAAGGTTCACAGTTGCGAATAGCAGCTGAAGTAAGAGAAGTTGTTCCAAGCTGGAACTTGCACCAAAACTACAGCAAGCGCTTGGAAAACGTCTGCATATACTCTATCTCTCACTACTTGAAGATTTCTTACCTTTGTCTTAAAAAGGTGTTTTATAAATTGTAATAAATTAGAACAGAAGAGTCATCCTGGTTTGATAGCTCAGTTACCATCGCTTACGATGAAATGGATGTATTTCTATCAAACAGAACTATGTGCCTTATGAAGTGAGCCCTGTTATGCACATGTTCTTATGGGTCTCGGGGCTCATGTCTTAATGCATATAGTTCTGTTTGGCAGAATTACGTCCAAATATATTTCCTCATACAAGATTTTAGGACTAAGAAGCAGCCTCGTTTTAAATGTACTTTCTAAAGCAAGGAATATCGATGATTGAAAGATCAAATCGGAGTGACTCATCTTCATCAAATAAATCTTTCACTATATAAAAGTAAGGAAAGGGGAGGCACTGCTCAAATTTTTGGTGCAGTTCCAAAGCGGGCAAAGAACACATTCTTTTCAGAGCTAATGTGCGACCGTTCCACTTGCTTTATTTGCTTTTAGCAACAATCCCATTTATGATTGTAAATAAGTATAAATTTTTACAAGTAGACGAATTGTAAATACATATATTTTTTCATGGATTTCAATAAATCAGAATTTTCTTTAATTGCGTCTTCTTATTAAAGTATTTTAGCAAATGAACGAGATTATGAGAGAATATTTTGATCTTTTCGTAGAATTAATGCAAGGAGAAAAAGGGTCACATGCTTCAGTCATTTACATAGAAAGTACATTATGCCAAAACTTTTTTCCCAATTTTACGCACTAATTTTTTATGTAAAAAAGTCAGGGAATTCCAGCTAAGGCTGTAGACTCCATGTATAAAAAATCTACAAAGGGAGTGAACTCGTGAATGAAAAAAACTTTGAAAAAAGGTTTAATATCATGTTTATTGACTTGAAGAAAGGAGGAAAACAAGTTTGAGTGCATTTAAAAAAAAAAAATAATAAATGAGAAAGATACGAACAAATCTGACGCATCTCTGCCACTAACAGGCTTCAAATACACAATGCAAAAAAATAATTTTGAAAAACTATTCACCTAAAGGAAACTTAAAAAAGACAAAACGGTTTCAAAACCAGATATTTATATTAAATTTTCTATGAAATGAGCCAAACAGCTTGAATGAGACTTGAGTGATAAACCTTGTACTTTATTAGTCAGAGATGCTTCTTATATCTGTGCAAATTGACAATTCAAAAAGCTGTGATTATTGTATCCAATAACTAGTAATAATGCCAAGAATTGAGATCATTTACATGTACTTTTGACAATATTGCCTAATGATTCTCAAACTTGTTTTGAACGACTCAAAATACTTGAAAAAGCATTGAGAAGGGTACTCAGAGTTAGGTCATCTTGACTCAGGAGATCAACAAAAAAATTCTAATACTTCGTAAAAATCTATTTCGAATATTTAAAACAGATTTAGTAGGTAACAGTTAATGACAAAGGGTTGAAAAGTGTGAGAAAAGATGACTTAGGTTGTCAGTTTCTTCATCTCAAATTATAATGATTTTCCCTAACTTTCAGGGTCAGAAGCTTGATCAAAATCCAAATTATAGAAAGTATGTAGGTATCCTGTCAACAAGGCAAGAAAAATTTTCTGGTCATGCTGAATATTTCAATATTTAAAAAAACGCATCTTCAGCCCATGTCCAACGAGTCCATATTTTTGACCAAAGGAAAAAACATGATCCAGTTGGGTGCATCCAAATAAGGTGCGTTGGTGATAGACAACGGAGATTTTTTCATAGGATTACCCGCAGAGTTAGACATTATAAAACTGAGGCCTAAAACTGTCACAAGACTGAAACGGCGGCCCAATGGTCAAATTCAACGCATTTTTCGCATTATGTGTAATTATGTCTGACTATTACAATAACCCTTTTTGGTGGCTTCATGTATGCTTTGTAAAATAAATGAAAAAAAAGGAGCACGGCTTAGAGGAACTTGTAGCCTCCTTTAAGTTGAAACGATTGTGTGGATTCTATCCAGGCAACTGTGCTAAAAAGTGGTTTCTTCGCAGCAAGTGTTTGCAAGAATTTTCAGGAGTGCTGGTTAAGTTAATCAACTGTCTGTCTGTCTGTCTTGTTGCAGGAGGTGTGAGATGTGCAATCCCAAAAGCTCTTTGATTGGCTCCTTGCCACTGCTCTCGGATTGGTTCTTAGTATTTTCGGCCCTATTCACTTTGTAGATGGCTTCGGTTCTTTTTGCAATGTCACAACTACTTTCGTTTATTCGAGCCCTTTTTGTGTTTTGTCTGTCATTTCCTTCAATACAAAAGTATAATAATGTATCGCTCACTCAGTGGAAACACTTGAAAAATGTATTGCGATATCTTAAAGGCACCCTTGATTTCTCTTTAATTTTTGAAAAAGGACAGTCAGTTCCCCCACTAGGTAGTGAGTTATTTTGACTCAGACTTTGCAAATGATATTACAGACCGTAAGAGTGTCACAGGTTTTCTTGTAAAACACTATGGTAATATTGTGTTCTGGCAATCGAAAAAGCAAAGTATTGTCACATTGTCAAGCACTGAAGTGGAGTATGTCGTGCTTAGTAAAAGTGTAAGAGAACTTAAATTTTTAAATCAACTAATAAATGAAATATAAAATCAATATTTAACACCTGTGATTTATCATGATAATCAAAGTAGTATTATTATTGCTAAAAATCTTGAGACTAAACGTTCCTAACACGTAGATGTCAAGTTTCACTTTGTTCGTGAAGAAATATTAATAAGACAGCTTATTGTTAAATATATTCCGTCAAATGAACAGGTAGCAGATATATTCACCAAAAGCTTGAATCAGAAATTGTTTACAAAATTTTTGTCCGATATCTCTGTCAAGCGCTATCAAATTTTCCTTTTTGTCTTGAAACTTTCACTGTCATCCTGTCTCCTCATTAGACTATTGCTGTACACTGTTCCATCTTTTTCTGATCTGACGACCGTGTTCAGTATCCAGAATTCGAGTTCTCTTATCTTTACAGGATGGATCCTTAATTTAACTGTGGTTAACAAGTGTTAGTTGTCTTTTCATCCGTGATATAGAATTTTTCAGTGTATTAGTTTAGCAATCTAGTTAGTTATGTCTCTTGTGCATAAATCTGGTGCTATTGAAAACTTCTTTTTTCTGCAAGTTAATAAAATGGTTAAGTGCTATTCCAAACGCTCCACCCTCTTCTAAAAGAAAGAATGCAAGAATCTGTTCGCTTCATTTCTTCAAAGGAGATTATAAAGTTATTTTTAACCTTCAAAAAATCGTTGAATGATGATGCAGTTCAGAAGGCAGGATTATGTTGCCAGTCATTCAATAACAGCAGGTTAATAAAATGGTTAAGTGCAATTCCAAATGCTCTACCCTCTCCTAAAAGAGAAAATGCCAGAATTTGTTCCCTTCACTTCTTCAAAGGAGATTATTAGGGTTTTTTTTTTTTTTAACCTTTAAAAAATCGTTGAATGATGATGCAGTTCTGAAGGCAGGATTGTGCTGCCAGCCATTCAATAACTCTGTGTAAAACACATCATTGAGCAGTCAATCTTCAAAGTTTATCTCACCTTTGGGCACATCTTTTTTTTCTCCTTTTTCTCCTTCTCCTCATATTAACAAGGACACACTCCATCAATTATGATAAACTGTGAACATAATCAATCCATTTTCTTTTATTTTTCTGTATTCTTATCTCAAAGGAAGGTAATGCAAATTACAATCCTAATTCCGAGAGATAACGCAACACAGGACGGAAAATTTACATTGGTTTTTAACTATACGACAGAAGACCCTACATTGGTTAAGATGTCACAAGTCAACGTCAACTCATATGTTGACTGTGAGTACTTCCGTATGTGGGCGTAGTCCTGACCAAATACGAAGAAAAAAATTATGTAGAAGTTTCATTTTTAATACTTTTATTACTTTAAAAAACGCAAGATAAAGTTGGTAGCTCAGCAGTTCCCAAAATGCTTTTGACATTGGTTAATCCTTTCAAAGTTTTTTCCCAGGTATTTTATACCTAAGTTAAATGTATTCTGTATTTTTCCCCACTTTCTATATTTTTAGAAACTTTTTACGTAGCTACATTACCCACATTCTATAAAGCAGTTGTCTCTCCAAACAAAACGTGTTTTTGGTTCATACTGGAATCGATTGTGCGCCCATATCCAAGCAAGAGGGACTCGGGCTTTTGAAACGTTGAAGGCATTCCTGTGTCAGGAATCAAAAGTGGACTCCGCCGTTTTGAATCAAGTAACAGAGATTGAGAAATATTTAACGACGACCGTCGTTGTCCGCCAGAAACAGTCGACACTTGACACATTTGTTCGAAAATTGTGATTTTACTGTGCTGTACGTAAAGTGTAATATAGCTAATTTGTTTCGTTTGTGAATATCTTGTTTAACAATTTTATTCCCGCCAATTTTCCGTAAAATATCGTCATAGTTTAAGAGGGGGGGGGGTGTATACGAAACTGGAAAAAACCGAACATTTCAGAAAAATCTGTGGCCTAAAATCGGGTTTTCCGCGGTTTTCGATTTAACGAATTTTTTCGCCAGTCCCCAGAAATTCGATACATCGAAAGTTTACCGTAATAAATGGCCACGAAAATGTTAAATTAAACCTACGTCCCTCTTCCAGTTTTTTGGTCGTGAATTGCTAACGCCAGACCGGTACAATATGCTGAACTCAGATCAAGTTGGCTCTAACCTCTAAAAGAAGTTAGCCCAACTCACAATCTTGGTTCTTCAACTCGCGGCTTTTCAAGCCACTTCTTCCTCATCAACCGCCTCACGTTTCACACTTGAAGCTTACTCTTAGTCTTCAACAGAAAAAATCGAAGATTATTTCCAGAGATTAACTTAAGTTGAATTTGAGTCATGTGCCTCGAGCCAACCAAGCTCAAGACAGCATGAGGCCTGAACTGAATACATCTCTAAATGCTTTAGGCTTTCCCACTCCTCCTAGCTTGCTCTATTTCAAAACTCTTAAATTAAAACTTATTTCATATCACATCAAATCACGGAATAAGTAGTGAAGCAATCACTTTCCGCAAAATTCACCAGCAAGAAAGTGAATCTATTTATTTCCGATTGTACCTCTCATCTTAAAACTGGTGCATGTTACTGCGAGTTTGGTGATTTTCTAGACTATTCATTAACTGTCCAATTTATACACGGTCTACACAGTGACGACATCTGTGATAAAATCGTGCTAACGAAACCGGATAAGTTCAGAACTGCAGTCACCATGGCTTTCTTCATTGAATCAACCTAAAAGGCATCATCAATCCTCAAAGTTATAATACTATCTTGATGCCACAAGAACATCATGAAGAAAGCTATTAAAATCTGAAAGTTTTTTATCTCTATTTGTTATAAATCGCTTGGCTTCAGCACACACTTTTTATCAATCATTCTGTAGTCAAGCTTATCCCCCTGTCGACAGTCGCTTTATAAAGAATTTGACACTTAATTACAACCCTTCAAGATTCTGACTGTTTTTTCAGTAAATTACTTATACCGTCAAGTCACCTAACTTGAACAGACACCTAACTGATTGGAGACAATCAGAGCAGTCATTTGTCTTCGAAGGTAATAGATTCAT